AGGGGAAACTCATTGCTTGGAACTTTTAGTTTGGATTGGTGTTTTGGATTTTTGAAGAAAGACACTGGAGTGTGATTTTCAGCATATTCTTTTACGTTTAAATATCTTGGGCTAATTTTCTTTCTTTTGTTTTTCTTTCTCTTTTTAGCTTATGTTGATTAGACTCAAACTTAGGTATGGGAATGACAGTTCTCCAAATTCATGCAGGGAAGGAAATGCAAAATAAAATTGGTGTAGTTGAAGGAAATTGAGAAAATTAATTTTGGAGATAATTGTTTTCCTGTGTTTAGTCAAAGTGGTAACAGCAATTCTGGCTTATATTAATTTAGTGCTTAAATGTGATCATTGGTGTTTTGGATTTTTTGAAGAATAGTGTATAGAAGCAAATAGTTGGTTTCAAACAAATCAAATTCATTCATTTGCCACAAATGGCAGCCAATGAAATCTATGTTTTGATATTAATATTTTTATGATTCTCAAGGGGAAAAATCTCTAACCTCAAAACCTGAAATATTTTAATACTTACCCTGTCTGGGCCAATACGTGTGAGATTAATTCCTATTCTTGTCTACTCTTACCACTTCCTCTTTATTTCCTTAGCAACCACTAGTAGCTACTAGTGGTTTGGGATGGGTATATATGCCAAATCTTATCCTATGTGTGACTTTTGTGAGTGAATAAAGAGAGTTAATATGTTAGGAGAGTAAATGGCACATTTGTGGAACATTTCTGGGGGGAAGAAGAAAACGGGCAAGAGGTTGATTGCTCTCTTGGTTATACCAAAGGACATAGTTGATTATCAACACTTTGAGTTAACCTCAAGAGAAAAAGGTGTTTGTTTTCAGGAGAGAAGTTATAACAGATAATGTATATCCAACTTGCCATTTGGAAAAAAAAGTAATTCAGGACATTACATAATTTAGGACCTGCTTTGTGTAGACTGATGTTTTGTATTTTTGCTTTTGGATCATTTACTTTTCTTGATAGATACATCTTGATTATACCTTTCCTTGGAAACCAATCTTACAAAGTTGATAAATGATCTGGAAACCTTTGTACTTATAGGCTAGTGGTGTCCTTGGCATATAGTATATGACAATAAATATTTCTTGAGAGACTAAATGGAAAATGAAATGTTAATTTTCACATATAAAAACTGAACACCTGAAGGGAGCACAGTATTGCTACTTCCTCTGTGAAGACCAGATCAGTCTTAAAATAAATAACCAGGGTTAAGATGGATGAAAGAAGCTGAGAAGGATGTTATACATGTTCTTTTAGCTCCATAATAATAGTTCAGGAGAGGAAATTATTACCTTGGCTGCTCCAGATCACTTGAGTGGGAAGTAAAGATGATAGAGCAAAAAGACAAGTACCCTCCAACCAGGGCAGACTACTGAGGCAGTTACTGTAGTGCACGTTATCTGCTCTTATTTCTGTTTAGCTAGAGTAGTTTTGATCCATGGATGCAAGTAAATGATCCCTTAACTTCACTGGTTGGTATTAGGAAAAAAGCATATTTGAAATAAAATAAAATGAAAAGTTTTGAATCTTGTTTTCATATTTAGAGTATTGTAAGCCTGGTTATCATGACCTAAATTCTTTACTGTTCAAAAGACAATACAATGCAGTTGATTGATTCTATCATCATTTCCAACTAGTCCACATTTCTGAGGGAAGGAGGAACATAAAACTATTTTTCAAGGAAGGTCTTTGAAAAGTGATGAGTCAGATAACCAGGAGAAGGGGGAAGGGGCTAATATTTGTTTAGCCATTAAAGTGAAGTGCGAGGACACTTCACATCACATGTAATCTAATTTAATCTCTCAAGGAGTCTTTGTTAGGTAGATACCATTATCACAGTTTTATAGATGAGATAACAGATCCAGAGAGTTTAAATAACTTGGAGTCAAGCCAGGACCCAAAGCTTTGTGCTTTTCCATGATAATGCTCCTGCTATACAATGTAGAGTTAATGCATTATAATTTCTGGACAATTATGTAATGCTTTAATGTTAGTCTGAATTTTGGAAACTATATTTGTTAGTGTCTCTACATAGTTGTTGGTGATATGCAGATTAACTTCTCCAGCAGGTGTCAGAAAGTAAGTTAATTCATTCATTAAAAAGAAAAAATGTTTTTTAACCATTTTGTTAAAGATTACCCACTTTGTTGATGGGAAAAAAATTCTGTAAGAAACTTGGGGCACTCTGATATTTATCTGCTAAAATGTTATCATCTGGTATAAAATAATAATTAGTTAAGTAGGGAGCATACCAAGGAAAGGCAGGAAAGGAAACCAAGAGGCTGACAGAGGCCTTAGTTCCACAGTTTAGGCCCTAGATTGGTTTTATCCTGAGAATAGCAGGGAGCCCTTGAAGGTTATTGAGCAGGAGAGGGTCCCTGTCACTTTGGTGGCTATTGTTAGGGAAGGAAGGATTGCTCAACCCCTGGTCAACCCTTAAACCCTAGCCACCTCCCCTGAGGTTTGTGCCTCCCATGTAGTATTAACAATTCTTAAGCTGTCAGGGGGGCAAGGGGTTCCCAAAGATCCGGGATCAGAAGTTGAAATGGTTCCTGCTACCCTGTGTCCCCAGCCCTCAGGCCCTAGCCTGAATGCAATTGACCGTGATGAAGCCATCCTCATCCTCATTTTCACTTATCTCTGGACAGATCCCCTTCTTGTCTCTTGTCTCAGGTAGTGGGCAGTGCTGGTAGCTGGTGCGGTATTTTCGGCAGAGGTGGCATTTGGTAGCAAGTGCAATGAGGAGAGAAAGAACCATAGCCACCAGCACAACCCCTATCAGCACAGGCCATGCCAGGCCTGGTGCATGATCCAGGGGGTTGTGGCTGATGCTATAGGGGAGCTCTGAGAGCCCCACAGCTGTTTAGCTTGTCTCACTCATGGAGTGGCTGGAAGACACCTGTGATCCTCAGCCTTGGCAAGAAGAGCCCTGTGTCTAAGGTGATCCCTAGGTACCAGCGCACAGAGTTCTGTTGGAGGACCAGCTAGGGCTAGAGAGTATCTGATTTAGTACCTAAATCAGAGGAGTACCTGGTAGGAGTATGCAGGTTAAGAAACCCCCCTGATTTGTAGTTTCTTTCCTGCTCCCAGGGATTTGTGGATTTCTTCTCCCAGCGCCCCCCCCCCACCCCATTCATTTTTATTGTGAGTTGACTGAATATGGTCAGATATGTTTGTTGTTGATATTAGTTGAGCTTGAGCCAACTCATTTATTTACTATTAATTTTCTTCATTGGCACTGGAGGCTTGAAAAAAAGTGGGGAGCGAGGGCTGGATGAATAAAGGAGAGAGAAAAACCAAATTTATTGAGTGTCCATGTGCCAGATAGCTAGTGGTGGAACCAAGACTGTAGCTCTGGTTTGTTTAACCTCAAAGCTTCTGCTCTTTCTGCCATGCACCAATGCCCTTTTCACTACAAATCCTTAAATCCAATGTTAGTCTACTTCTGGCCAAGTAGTTACATATTTTTCCTCTCAATGTTATGGCTTACTTAACTTGGGTGTATACAGGACAGTGTTAGTAATGGTAAAAGTGGAGGTTACAAAACTGTGAAGAGCAGGAGATTTCTCAAGGGGGAAAGGACTTAACTCTAAGAAATGAGACCAGCTAACTATATTGTTTGTCATTAGTTTGTATAAGTTTGTCATTAGTTTTAGAGTCCGAGTAAATAGGAGAAAAAAGGATGAATGATTCAGTACAAATCTATCACCACTACTAGAAAACTAATTGAAATGTGTTAGTTATATATTAACACGTTAAAAGAAGATTACTTTTAAAGTGTAGGAGGGATTCATTTAATGTTGGACATTATTATGGAAGCACTCAATTGATCTGAAAAAAAAAAAAAAAGAAAACAAATGAAGAATAGAAGTTGTTAATGAAACACCTGTTTTGGAGTTTGAGATTGTATTTAAGTAGGTTGGGAGTCAAGAGAATTAGATTATTTTCATTACTGATATTGAATAATGGTGTGACTTAATCTCTTTATAGATGTTTGCCTAAGAAAGGCTATGTAGTGCCTGCTGCCTTGCCTAAATCACTGTAGAAGTACATAATTTTGAAATGAAACAATTGCGTATAAGGTTGCTTAAAACTTTCACATTAATTAACCTATACCATTTATGAATATCTTATTTGATACTGGTTGTATGCAACTGCTATTGAATATTTAAGCTAGGGTGCCTTAAACTGGAAGTGTGATATAATAGAAAGAATTTAGACTTTAGATCTAAGTAGCCCAGTCTTTGACTCTGGGCTCTGCTTTTTTCTAGCTATATTCTGTGACCACTATGAGCTTCAGTTTCTTTATCTGTACATTGCAATTGCTGCAATCAAACAAAAACAACCAATCCCCCCCCCCCATAAATTTAGTGGCTTAAAATTGCACACATTTATTATCTCAGAGTTTCTGTGGTTCAGGAGTCTGGGCATGGCTGAGCTATACACCTTGTATTCAGGGTATCTCATGAAGCACAATGAAGGTGTTGGCAAGGACTGGGCTTACCACAGAAGGCTCAATCGGGAAGGGATCTGCTTCTAAGCGTACATATTAGCGGGCAGGATTCAGTTTCTTGCAGGCTATTGCACCGAGAGCCTAGTTTCCTTGCCAGTGGTTATCTGAAAGTTGCTCTCAGTTCCTTGCCATGGGAGCCGCTCCATATGGCAGCTTGCTTCATCAGTTCAACAGGGAGAGAGCCTACCAGTAAGGTGGAAGTTAGAATCTTGTGTAATCGAATCATGGAAGTGACATCCCTCCACATTGAGGTCTTCAAGTGGTTAGGAGCAAATTACTCGAGGGAAGGGCGTTACACAAAGGCGTGGATATCAGGAAGTACTATTATTGGAGTGTGCCTCACACAGAGACACGAATCCTCCTGCATAAGATTGTTGTGAATATTCAGAGAAGTGTAATATATTTAAAATTCTCCTTATTTTTGATCTCACCTTAAACTACTTTTCTAGATGTTACCTATTAGTCTTCTGCATAAGAATCAAACTTACTATTATTATTAATACTATTTTCCATTTTTGTCTTACCATTTGGACTCTGTGGAATCTATTTCTTTACAATGATTGCCCCCAGCAATTTGACTTGTGAAATTCTGTTCGTCTTCTAGGACCTATCTCAAAGGCTACTTTTTAAATAAACTTTCCTTGACTCATCTTTCTCTGACACAGAAGTCATCTCCCTCATCTTATTTGTAACACCTTTTCATAATTTCGTTAGGGCATATGTCAGTCTGCCTTGAATTTTTTCTTTGTTACTTAGATTATAAGCAATGATTCTGCCTTAATCTTTTCAAAGGAGAAGATTATAACATCCTTTTGAAAATATAATAAGACAATATTTGTTGATTAATGAATTAGTTTTTCCAAAGTTTAGCAGTTTAATAACTTGTAGAGACAGACACAAAGAATTTTAAAGGGTTGTGATTGTTTTATATGTTATAAAGCTGATATTTCTAGCATCCTAGGGAATAAAGTATTGTACATAATTTTCCAATGAACTACAAATATCCTTTTATATGTCTAAAGTGATTGTAACAACCATTTATTTATTCATTTATTTACTCATTCATTTTTTTTAACCAACAAATATGTTACCATTTATTATGATAAGCCCATATATTAGAGACCTGGGATGAAAATCTCTAACATCTTTTGTGTATTTCTCTATATTTATAGTGAGCTATATTTTTTAAAAAATATATGTTTTTATTGATTTTAGAGAGGATGGGAGCTCGATCCAAACTGGGGATCTAGCCTGCAACCCAGGCATATACCCTGATGGGGAATTGAACCGTGACTTCCTGGTTCATAGGTCAATACTTAACCACTGAACCACACTAGCCAGGCTGTAGGAAGCTATCTTATTTAGAGCAATTTAATCTTTTGCTCCTAGCTCAGGCATAGTATTTTGAGTATCAGACACTGACTGTAACACAGTTAGATGCACAGTTGTAACTGTGAAACCATGTAAGTGAGGACTGCTTGCTTCTGCACCAAACAGTATTGATTTGGAGTACTAAAACTACTTTTTAGTTTTTTATCCTTTTTTGGTCACTATTGTGCTGTTAGTGAGATAGTTTCTGGTTCTTTCGTTGAGAAATCAGGTAGCCAAGTACACTAGTTTTCTGTATAAAATGTAAATTCATGGACTCTGAGTGAAGTTATAAGTTGAAGAGAAAGTCCATGAGATGGGACATAAAATCTGTTGTGATACCTGAAATGAATTTCTAAAAATTATTTTTTTTTTTTCAGAAAATGAATTGCATTTCCTTTCAGTTAGATTCTAGGTAGTTGACGTTGGCTTGTATGTGTTGCCTTATAAATCATACAAGACTTCCAGATAAAGTCAAGGGTTGTAGCAAATATGGTTAAACTTTTCAGAAGTTTAGTTTGTGTTACTGTCTGAGCATTCAGACAGCGGCTAAATGTCACTGTGTGTTTGTAAATCTAGTCTGTAAGAAAAGAAGGATAGGTGCCTCATAAAGCACACACCAATCTGTGGATTTGAGTGTTCTAAAAAGCATGTAAAGGAATGGGATCACATCCTGTTTAACATTTTCATAAAATGAACTTTGATTGTGAAGTCAGCCTACTTTTTGTTTTTTATCAAAAGGAGGTTAGTCACTGTACCCATACATTGTTATCTTCAAAGTATTTTTTTTAAAGAGTTTTTATTTCTCTTCAGATTTGTTCTTTGATTATTAAATAGCTTTGACATTATCCTGCTAAACATTTTGGTTTCTAACTCTGTGTTTAGTCTTGTGAATTTTATTTAGACTATAAAGAACAACAATGGCCTAATTTAACTATATTAAGTTATTTCATAGTACATGTCCTTTGGCAAGCATTCGGCAATATAGATCTGTCTGTCCAGGGTATTTTTCAGTTAACTTAAAATTTTCCTGTTTTTCTATGTTAAAAAATGGCCATACTTTAGTAACTAATCAGCCTAATGCTTTTGCTTATGAACATTTTACCATCATTAATTTTTCATTTTCAATTGAGAAAATGAATCCAGATATAGAAGAAAGTACAGGATGTTGGGAAAAAGTACCTGTTAAACAGTGGAACATCTAATAACTAATTTGCTATGGTATTGTCTCTCTAGCACATAGGTAACCCTCCAAAAAATCATCCAGTTTGCTAAATTATGGAAATTTTGTGGAAGACGTTGACCTGGATTTTGAGCCTCATCATGGCTTCATCGGAATTTCATAGTGACCACCGGCTCTCATACAGTTCACAAGGTAGGATTACTGCTTTTGAAACGGACAAAAAATATTGCTATTAATCAACTACAGTCCTGTGCTCTACCAGCTGAACTATCGAAGGGACTGAATATTTAGTTTAGGTGAACATTTTCTTTGGGAGATGTAGTGATAGGAGCAGAGGCCTACAGTGTCAGTTCAGTGCACATTTCATAAATGTTAAGGCCTCTAAAAGTCTGTTTAACTTGTTTCACTGGTATTTGATATCCAGTGGATTTTAGAGTTGACTGGTCTTTTTCAAAAGATATAGACCAGGTATCTTCTTCTGAATCCGAAACATTGATAGGTTCATTCATTGCTAGAGTGTACAGGTAAAGTCATGTTCAAATGGAATCCAAAGGTTTATACTATGAAAGAGCAAGAAGCTAGACACATCCTATATAATAAAAGGCTACTATGCAAATTGACCAAACGGCAGAACAACCGGTTGCTATGATGCGCACTGACCACCAGGGGGCAGACGCTCAACACAGGAGCTATCCCCTGGTAGTCAGTGTACTCCCACAGGGGGAGCGCCACTCAGCCAGAAGCCGGGTTCATGGCTGGCAAGTGCAGCGGCGGTGGTGGGAGCCTCTCCCGCCTCCGAGGCAGTGCTAAGCTGTCAGTGGGACATCCCCCAAGGGCTCCCGGACTGCAAAAGGGCTCAGGCCGGACTGAGGGACCCCCCCACCCCTCGAGTGCATGATTTTCGTGCACTGGGCCTCTAGTTCTGATATAAGATTTTTAAAATATGGACCCTTAGTGAAAAAGTGCTTTTTCTAACTTAAGAATTCTGATCTAAGATCTAGAACCTGGGTAAGAAGGTAAAAGTGGTGAGAAGTTCAACTTTTCAAATTCTAACCCATAGAGCCCTATGATTTTCATTCATAGAATTGAACTTTGTATCATAGGAAACATATTAACAGAAAGAACCCAGGAAGAAATGTCATTTTGTTTTCCATGAGTCAGTCCAATCCTTATAGAATTAGAGAAAGCACACCTTTTGTAGTCCCCTTCCATGAATGTATAGTAACGGATCATTTTTTTGGTGCTGAGAAACCAGATTTTCAAGGCTATTATAGATTGATGTCTAGAAATCCATCCATACAAAATGTGGATCTCAAAGTAGATCAATAAAGCCATAGCATTTGGTATGAACTCTTATTCATGAGAAATACAATAAATATTATCTTTCAAATTATTTCCATTTGGTCATGGTTTCATGGGAGTTTATATTTGTGAGTGAGCTCCATGTAGAGACAGTAAGGCATCAGGCAGCCATTTGGTTTTCCTTGGTAGTAAACCCCGCTAAAGGAAGATGTAGTTAAGAAGGTAGATTGGTAATATGTAGTACACCTAAGTGAGGAAAATATTATTTAATAGTCCTCTGAATTTTTTGTCATTCTGATACTTTTTAAAGCAGCTTTATTGAGATATAATAGGTATACCATATAATTTACCCATTTACAGTATACAATTCAAATCGTTTACAGTATATTCACAGTTGTATAACCATAACTACAATCAATTTTAGAACATTTTCATCATCCTAAAAAGAAACCTGTACCCATTAATAGTCACTCATAAATTCCCTCTAAACCATTCTACACCCCTAGCCCTAGGCCACCTCTAATCTACTTCTGTCTCTAGAGATTTGCCTATTCTGGATATTTCCATATAAGTGAAATCATATAACATATAATCTTTTGTGACTGGTTTTTTTTCACTTAGCATATTTTTATAATGTTAGATAATGAATTTTAATTATGAAGGCAGTTATTATGAAGATTCATTCATGTCATAGCATGTATCAGCGCTGTATCCTTTTATTGCAGAATAATATTTCATTATGTAAGTGAATATACTACATTTTACTCATTTATTCATCATTTGATGGGCATTTGGGTTATTGCTTCCTTTTGGCTATTATGGACAATGCTGCCATAAACATTCATGTATGGATTTTTGTGTGGATATGTGTTTTCATTTTTCTGGGTGTATACCTAGCAGTGGAATTGTTGGGTCAGATGGTAGTTGCATGTTTAATTTTGGAGGAATTGCCAGACTGTTTCACAAAGTGGCTAGCTGATAATTTATTTTTTAAAAATGCCTTCAAGGCTGTTGAGATTCTTTATAAACTCTTTGGATAACTTTCACAAACATTTTATCTGAGCTAAATTCTATTCTTTTACATATGTGTGTTTTTCACTGTTTTAACTTTCAATATAAAATATTCATATTTCCTGTGTAATTTCCCCTTAGAATTCATGTTTTTTAAAATTAAATTGTAAAAATAAAAATAGTCTTTTAAAATAGTGTTATTTTGAGGAATTAAATAATTGAAACTTAATTCATCTTTTTTTAAAAAATATATTTTATTGATTTTTTACAGAGAGGAAGGGGGAGAGATAGAGAGCTAAAAACATTGACGAGAGAGAAACATTGATCAGCTGCCTCCCGCACATCTCCCACTGGGGATGTGCCCGCAACCCAGGCACATGACCTTGACCGGAACCGAACCCGGGACCCCTCAGTCCGCAGGCTGACGCTCTATCCACTGAGCCAAACCGGCCTCGGCACTTAATTCATCTTTAGATTTGAAACTTTTACTCTTTTATTTTTGTATACTATAACATTTTTTTCCCACAACTCACCCATGATGGTTCATAGTTGTAACTGATATAGTTGTTATTTACACTGCTACTTTGTTGTTCTGTTAAATTATCTTTTCTTCCGTGTGTTTTTTTTTTCTTCTGGATACTCTGCTTTATGATTACGAAGAGGAATTCCTGACTTACCTAGAACACTACCAGCTAACTATTCCAATAAGGGTTGACCAAAATGGAGATTTCCTCAGCTTTACTGTGAAAAATGATAAACACTCGAGGAGAAGACGGAGTATGGACCCTATCGATCCACAGCAGGCAGCATCTAAGTTATTTTTTAAACTTTCAGCCTATGGCAAGCACTTTCACCTAAACTTGACTCTCAACACGGATTTTGTGTCCAAACATTTTACCGTAGAATACTGGGGGAAAGATGGGCCTCAGTGGAAACATGATTTTTTAGACAACTGTCACTACACAGGATACTTGGAAGATCAACATAGTACAACCAAAGTGGCTTTAAGCAACTGTATTGGGTTGGTAAGTAGATGTTATAATTTTAAATTTCTTATGGGGATATAAAATCTCAATGTAAATGTCTTTCCTCAGATTAATAAATATGTATATACAACATCTAAATATTTTTGTTATTGCTGCTGCCTTTGCTTTTGATAGTCTTTTTGATAATGTTTGTATTGAGTTTTCAAAGTCAGAGCAATATTAAAAACCCTATATTGTTAGTAGAAAAATGAATGAAACCTCAGGTTTCATTTCAGATTTAAGTTTTTTTTTTTCTGTTCAAATAAGATACCTTTTATGCATAAACAAAACCCAATCATTGGTGAAGAGTTTAAGGTTATGTGTGCATGTATGTGCGTGTATTATTTCAGGAAACTACGACACTGATTGCCTCTTTAGGTTTCTTTCTATAATGTCTTTGTCTGGTTGTCAGCATAGCTTAATTATGTGTGACCTACTTATGGTTTAAATTCTTTAAAAATTTTTTTAAAAAAATTCATTTTAGAGAGGAGGGAGAGAGAAAAAGAGAGAGAGAGAGAGAGAGAACATCGATGTGAAAGATTGCCTTTGATCATTGCTTTCCTGTACATGCCCTGATCAGGGAGCAAACCCAAAATGTGGGCATGTCCTCTGACCAGGAATCTAAACCGCCATCCTTCAGTGTATGGGACAAATGCTCCAATTAAGTGAACCAGACTGGCCAGGGTGGTCATAAATTCTTGAAGCAAAATCTTTAATACCAATATCTCTTTATTAAATAAAATCTTTCTGCATTTATCTGAAGATTGATTATAAGCCTTATTTTACTTAGATTTCAAGAGTGTAGGGTCTATCCTGGGCATTTGAGTCCATTCTAGTCTAATGGTAAATACACAGTTCAAGGTTGCAAAACAAAGCATATTCCCATATTTCCACGACTGCTTTTTACCATATTCAGGCTAATGCAGATGTTCCATTAAAGCTCTATTTGTGTAAAAGCACAATTTTATTATTATTATTATTTTGGCTGCAAAAAGCTTTATTATTTCCATTTAGTCCAGTGCATGGGAAAGGCTCCAGGGTGGTTAAAAGGGTGGCTAGTGGTTTCAGGGAGAGGCTCAGGAAAAAGCCAGACACCAGGGGATGCAGAGGGGCCCCTCAAAGGACTCTGGGCTCCAAAGGCTCTTAGCGGTGCCTGAGGGTGAGCCTTTCGAAAAAATACCCGCCCAGCCCAGCCTGCGGATGTGAGTCAGGTGTTGCCCATCTTCTTGATGAGCTTCACCTCCTCACCCCGGAAGTGGTTCTCCAGGAAGTCACAGAGAGGAGGGTCTGCGCGGGTAGAACCCAGGGCCTGCAGCTCCTGAAGGACCTGGTTCAGGTTCCTCTCCAAGACCAGGGCGGCTTCCATGGCGTCCTGAGTTTTGTTCCACTCATCTTTGTCGGCTTCAGCACGTCCTGGAAAAAAACTCGGCCACGGAGCTGGTTTTGCGGAAGTGGCCCCTCCCCATGGTGGTGGAGATAGAAGCCCAGAGGGAGGTAGGTGCAGGAGGCCTGAAGGTGCAGGTCGGCCAGGTGGCTGAGGGCAGTCTCCATCTGGGTGGAGTAATTCTGACGAATTTGGGAGCTCACGTTGTTCGGCAATAAGGAGTTTAGGTTAAAAAACGGCATTGGCTGGTCTCAGAGGCTGAGAGGATGGCTTCAGGTGGTTCCGAAGGTGGTGCCTGGTGCGAGGCTGGAAGAAGGGGTGTCCCTGGGTCTGTTCCATCCAAACACTGTTGAAGCAAGAGACAGATCTGAGGGATCTGCCAAGAGCACAAACTTTTTTTTTTTAAATCCTCACCAAGGATATTTTTTCCCTGTTGATTTTTAGAAAGTGGAGGGAAGTGGGAGAGACAGAAACACCGATGTGTGAGAGAGAGACACATTGATTGGTTGCCTCCCACAAGCCCCCTGACCAGGGCTAGGAGCCTGCAACTGAGGTACTTGCCCTTGACCGGAATTAAACCCGAGACCCTTCAGTCTGCAGGCTGAGGCTCTATCCACTGAGCCAAACTGTCCAGGCAAGAGCACAAACATTTTGATGCTCAAGTCATACTTTCAGAAACTGTTTTTTTCTATCTTCTATCACATTCATATTCTTATTCCTAGGTTAATATAAAAAATACATAATTAAAGTTGGAGTTAAATAAGTCCTAAATTTGAAAGGAGTATTAGGAATCACACAGTTTAGGAAAATTTTCATTATAGGTATAAATAAGAATTTGCTCAGAATGTCTATTTTCTATAGTTGTTAGTGGGTCAAAATGATTAGATTTTAAGATTTGGGGTTAATTCCTATAAATAGAAACATTGAGTACTTTTATCACTAGTTTCTCTGTATACAGTGTTAGGCTTTATATACAAAATAGATTTATCTTTTTGAATAAAAATAAATTATCCAAAGTAGATATGTGTTTTAAAAGCTTTCATATGTTTAAATGACATTTGCTGTTAAATATGATAGAAAAGTACCATTCTCAGTCATTGATCAAGCCCTCTAAATTTGGCATTAACATTAATTATGCCATTCATAGTTTTAGCAGGGTGGTGAAAGGAACAAATTTGAGATTTAGAAAGAAACACACACTAATTCCATTGTGAAATTTGAGGGGACAGGAGTGATTGGAGGTGTGAAGATGAGTTAGAACATTTAGGAGATAATGAAGGCCTTTACAAAATTATGGCACTGAGAATGGAGAAGATAAAATAAATTTGAAGATGAAATAAATTTGGTCAGAAAATTTAGAGGATTTGTATTTTATTAAATTTTTCTTCCCTAGCATCTAATAAGACCATATATTAGATGGTAGATATTTTATAATATTTTAGGAAGTTGAAATAGAGAGAGAAAGGGAGAGAGAAGCATTGATCAGTTCCTACTGTATGTACCCTGATCTGGATTGAATCCAAAACCTGACTGAGAGTTGAACCTTCGACCTTTTGGTGCACGGGATGCACCAGCAAACTGAGCCACGCCAGCCAGGGCCACCTGATTATTCTTCATCCTCATTGAGACTTTCTGTCTCTTGTTCTCGGTCCCTCTCTTTATTAACACCTTTCTTTTTTCCTTTGCTTCCTATTGAAACTGCATGGTCTATGTTGACTAACTTTGATTACTTGATTAAGGTGAGGTCTGCCATGTTTGTCCACTGAAGTTACTGTTTACCTCTTGGCAGCTGATAAGGAATTTGTGAACAGATACTGGGGGACTATGTAAATATCCTATTCCTCATCACACTTTTACCCACCAGTCTTAGTAATCCTTGTCTTCATTCTTATTTTGTATCATGTTATATTTTTAATCAAATGAATATGTGTAGAAGTTTTTTTAAAAAAATCCTACTTTTTTTCTAGTGGGTTTTGCTCAGTGGATAGAGCGTCAGTCTCTGGACTGAAGGGTCCTGGGTTTGATTCTGGTCTAGGGTATGTGCCAGGGTTGTGGGCTTGATCCCCAGTAGGGGGCATGCAGGAGGCAGCCCATCAGTGATTCTCTTTCATCATTGATGTTTCTATCTCTCCCTTCCTCTCTAAAATCAATAAAAATACAGTAAAAACAAAAAAAAGAGCCTACTTTTCAAAGGCCCCTTGTAACCAATTCTGTTTTTAACTGTTTATAAACAATAGTTTTCAATGTAGAGATCAATAGTGTTTGTTTCTAATCATATTTCCTTATCCATAGTTTGTGTTACAGCCCTTATACCATTCAAAAGAAAAGATTTCTAACATTATAGTCTATCAGCTGTTTTAAGTAATGTCACAGTTTAGCACTATGGCTTTCTTATCTAGGTCTTCTTTTTCTGAAGTTTCTTTTTTTTGTCTTATTGAGGAAAAAAATGATTGTTTTAACACAGTGATTAATATTCAGTTTTTTAGTTCTTATATCTATTGTGTGATATACAGGGTGGGTTAAAAGTAGGTTTACAGTTGTGAGTACACAAACAGAGTTTATTCTTGTATTATTATTTAATTATTGTATTATTTTCCATACAAACAACTGCAAACCTACTTTTGCCCTACCCTGTATATTTCATTCTTCTTTGGAGATACTTTTCTTGGAGTTTACTGGTTACTTAATTTTTTGAGTTACTACACATCTCTCATCTTGGGATTTATTTTTTTCTAGGCTAGTAACACATCTTCCTCTTTCTGTGTTTACATTCTGGTTTTGTTAGAGAACATCTTTAAGTAGTTACCTCAAAAAAGGTGCCTAGGAAGTAAAATTTCGGAGTCCTTGCCTATTTGAAAGTGACTTTATATTGTCCTCATTTTTGGTTAATAATTTAGCTGGATGTGACAGTCTAAGTTCAAAATCATTTTCCTTCAGAACCATGGATGGTGTAACCAGGAAAGGGAATATGGGGCATTAAATTTATTTATATGGTTTTATATCTTAGGAAAAGACTTAAAGATCTAAAAAATAACATTGGTTCATTTTGGGTGGCATACATATACTTGTTTTGTTTTTTTCTTAAAAGTTTTTCTTCAGTGAAAGTGATCTTTTCCTTCCTGTTTCAAGAATTTTATAATCATGTGGTAAGCTGTGGTCTTCTTTCCTGATCTCTCCTTGGTGTCTGATGGGTGCTTTCAATTTAAAGGCCTTCTACTAGGTTAGAGAAATTAAAAAATGTTTTCTTAAAAATTTTCTTTTCTTGTTTCTCTCCTTACCCTTCTGTGATTGGTTTTCTGCTTCTCTTATCTCTCTTTTTCATCTTTTTTCTCTTTTGTTCAATGAGATTTCCCCAATTTTGCGTTCTTCCCCCCCCCCTTTAATTGATTTAAAAATTACAGCAGTTATATTTCTAATCTTCAAGAAAGCTTCCTGTCTTGGTTGTTCCTTTCTTTATATATTGTGTTTGTTTCATGAAACATGATTTTCTTTCATCTCTCTGAAGATGCTGAAGACTTTATAGCTAGTTAGAAAAGACCAGTGACCCCAGTAGACTTTCTGTTCATTTTGTTATAGCCACAGTTGCCTTTCTACTTTTTCCATTACTCATTTATCTATTCATGAAATACTTATAAATACCTGTCATTTAATAGGTAGTGCTCTAGGCGCTATGAGTACAACAGTGAACAAAAGTCCCTATCATCATTTAACTTGCATCGTAGTGGAGGAGATACACAATAAGATAAATAAATAAAAATCATAGTGTGCTGTGTAATGGTAAGTTCTGAGGTGGACAAATACTGAGTAAAAACTTTAAGGGAGCATCAACCTATGAACCAGAAGGTCACGGTTCAATTCCCCGACAGGGCACATGCCAAGGTTGTAGGCTCGATCCTCAGTGGGGGATGTGTAGGAGGCAGCCAATCAGTGATTCCCTCTCATCATTGATATTTCTATCTCTCTCTCCCTCTCCCTTCCTCTCTGAAATCAATAAAGATATATTTTTTAAAAAAAACTTTAAGGGAAATGAGGAAGGGAATGCTGACATGTAAAGGATAATTTTTCCAGGTGGAAATCTTTAAGTACAAAGGTCTGATCTTAGAGTGTTGAGGAAAAGCAAGAATACCATTGCCAGAGCTAAGTGAAAGAGAGGAAGAATAATGGAAGGTGAAGTTAGAAAGGGAACTGGAGGCCAGATGTTAGATTTTAGAGGACACAACGAGGGTAATATTAATGATAACTCCAAGCTTGAGGCCTGAACAACTGGAAAAACATAGCAGTCATCAAATGGCATGAGAAAGACTCAGGCATTAATTGAGATGGAAAAGTTATAGAAAGAATAGTTTGGAGGTTGGTACATATCAGAAGTTCAGTTGAACATGTTAAATTTGAGAAGTTATATTGCATATTGGATATGCAGAAGAGAGATGTGAATTATGAACTTACAAATTTGGGAGTCATCAATATATAGATGACAGTGACAGGAGATTACATGGAATTGCGTAGGTGGAGAGAATAGAGAATAAAGGAGAGGTTTAAGGAGTGAATCTTTGGGTACTCCAATGGGTTAAGGAGGTCAGAATGATAAGGAGGAGACCAGCAAAGAACAGTGGAATAAGAAATTGAAGGACAACCAGACAAATATTCTAGAAGCCAAGTAAGAAAGTATTTCAAGAGAAAAATGTCAAAATAAGAGTAGGACTGAAAACTAACCTCTGAATTTATCAATGAGGAGGTTGTTGGTGACTTTGACTAAAACAGTTATGGTGAAGTCATGGTGGGGTTTGGAAAAGAGACAAAAACCTGTTGGCAAAGGTCTAAGAAGGAACGGGAGAAAGGACTATACAGATAATGATTTTAGAAAAGCAAGCAATGTCAGTTGCTGCAGGCACAAGTGGGGGTGAGAGGTTTTGTTCTGTTTGATAGGAATGATTATAGAGAGAAGGGAAGTTTCTGGAGTGATGTTCTTGATAGATACAGAAGCGATGGACTCATCTGCATAAATACAATAATTGTCCGTAGCTAGGAGAACATGCAGCTCATCCATAATAAAAGGATATAAAATAGATTATATGGATGAGATTCAGGTAGGTGCCGTGTTTGTTGTTGTATGACTTTGCAGGAGGTTGTGCCATGTTGTTTATTGGAACAGGAGAAGGAAAAATGAGGTGTTAGGGTATTAAGAAGAGGCGAGAAAGTATGAAATATTTACCCAGAAGAGCAGCATACTGAATAAATCAGAGAAACATAGTATGATTGCCATGAAGTGTTAAGGACACAGTTGAGATTATGATGATGAAATTCAAGTGAGACCAGCTGGCATCTTGGTGTACTTTCCTCTGGCTAAATGAAGCTGCAAGGTTATAGGCCCAGAGTAGCAAAGTTGAATTTAATCTGCAACTTGCCATAGTCTCAATTTCGAGGGTTCCATTCTTCTATCTTTCCAGTACTGTCTCTAGTATCTCAACTCTAAGAGATACCCCTTTTATGCCCAACATGACCCACTAATCCTTTTCATTGTCCACCCAATCCTTGTCTTCACTTCCCTCCAAACCCACCTTCAATTCCCTTGCCCTTTTTTTCTCTTCATGGAATTTATTTGACTAAACTACAACCCTGATCACTTTACTCACATTTCTGTTCCAATGTCACCTTATTGGAGAGGATGACCCTGACCATCCTAAATAGTTTGTGTAATTCCCTCACTTCTAATTACTTCCTATTCTCTTACACTGCTTTATTTTTCGTGTTAACATTTATCACTACCTGATTGATCATTTATTTATCTAATGAATGAATTCCTTTTTTTTCCTAGCTCCTCCCACCAGAATGTAAGCTCCATGATAGAGTTGGAACTTCGTTTTGTTCATTATTGTATCCCCACCATCTAGAACAGTACCTGCCCTATCGTAGGCATTCGAACATAGTTGGTGAATGAATAAAGTCACAAACCACCCTCAGAGGATAAGGGAATTACAGTACAGTGGCTAAGAGTCCAGCTCCAAAGTCTATCAAGTGAGTTTGTTCCTTAACTTTGCTCAGTCTCCGCTTGTCATCTGCACAGAGGAGCTGAGAGTAGTACTTACTTCAAAGAGCTATTAAGATGAAATGAAAAAAATAACAACGATGAAATGAGATGATATGTGTGAGCATCTTACAGGGTACTTAAGACACAAAATCTCTGGATTTTCTTCTGGAGTCTTTCCATTCTTGAAATTAGAGATTGTATCTGCTTACAAGGCTTGTGACTCTCTTTTCCCAGCAGCCTGAGATTCCTGGCTTGAGTGACTTGCTCAGTCTAGGATGACTTTAGTACTCTAGACCCCACTTTCTACCTTTCCTCTTACCAAGACTTCTCATACATCCCCTCCTTCCCGCAGGAACCGTGTTCAGTTTACTGTCACACCGCTAACCTTCCTGGTAAAGTAATTCATGCTCAGGTATTAGCGTTTGTTAATGGCAGATTATGCTATTCCTGTCAGTATTTGCATTTAATTTAGAGACTAATATTTTTAAAGTAAAGCAAACAATGGTGAAAATAATATGAAGTGACTAAGGGCTGTTTTGTTTTGGTGTTTGTTTTTTTTTACATTCCTTAGCTCACTTCGTACAGGTGGCTGCCAACTTCATCTCTAAGTTAGAGCAGTTCTGACTATGCCTTATCTTTCTTTCCAAGCGTATTATACGCAACATGAATTTCCTTAAACAGAATCATAGAGGCTTAGATTCAAAGGGGCTTCAGAGATTATCAGGACCAGAGGCTTTCAATTCTCCCCTCCCCCTTCTTTTTAAAGAAGCAAAACCCTTTTCTCAAGTGAAATGTTATGTGGAAACTTCATATATAGATGAATAAAAGCACAGCTGATTCCTAAACCCAGGACTCCAAGCTGTGTAGGTCTCTCTTTGTTGTCTGGGGCAGTCCCCTGAGGGCACTTCCATGGAACCCTTAGGGCTCCCCAGAGTGCTGTTTTAAAACCACTAATTTACACCAACCCTTTCATTTTCCAGCTGAGGAAATACCCGGGGAGTTTGTGTTTTATCCAGTGTTACAGGGTAAATTAGTCGGATTAAGAGCAGTCCTCTCATGTGCCACACTTAGGAAAATAAGGTAGACAGGGATGGAACGTCTTATTTCTGATACAGATAACTTTTACTATCTCATTTCTTTTAATTAGCAATTTTTTATTTAGTGTAATACATGTGGGACACTTTCTGTGGCTGTAACTGATACAGAGAAGTAGGAGATAGAACCCTTTGCCTTAAGAAAGCATCTAGTATACTTGGGAAGATAACATTGAAACACAGCTCCAGGAGTTGAGATGTAGCAAAGCAGTGTGGAATTAATTAAAACTAAATAAATTAAAAATAAATAATAAGCTCTGTTGGAACTCGGGGAGTAGGGGAAGCTACTCCAGTTGAGCTAGAGAAAGTTTTAAAGAGAAGTGACTGAGCTGAGTAGGACTTGGCTCAATAACTAAGGGTAAGGCAATTAATATTGTGAATAAGAGCAGAGTTTTGTGTGTCTTCCAGCTCCTTCACTTGCCTCTGTATAATATTGAGCAAGTTCTTAACCTTTGAGCCTGTTACTTCATTGGCAAAACAGTGATATGTGGTAGGTATATTAATTAAGGACATACTAATTAGTGAAACATAAACCTTAAAATGTCAGTTATCACAATAAAAGTTTATTTCTCCCTTGTATCAGCGTCTATGTTCAACAGCTTTCCATGAGGTCCTTCAGGGACCCAGGTTCTTTCTCTTTTGATTTCCACCTTCCCTAGGACTTTTTATTTTTTTATTTTTCTGGACAGAGAGTGGGGAATTCTGCTGGGGAGGTTTTCAGAAGCTTGGCCTGAAAGTCATGTACAACGCTGCCCATTTTCTATTGGCCAAGCTGATTTACAAAGTTATACCTAAACACAGAGGACGTAGTTAAGTGTGCAAAATTTGGAAAGAAAGTAAGTCTTCGTGAGCACATAGAGATCTCTGCGACCTCATAGAGTTGTTAGGAGGATTGGACGAAATAATCTATGTGTCATGCTTTGTACAGGGCATAACATGTAGAGGTACTTAAACATCCTTTTTAAAGGAAAGGAAAATTTATATAATGTTTTGCTGAGTATGGACAATTTACTTAATTTCTATTAACATGTGTTTTAACCTTTTTGGAGAGGTATCCGTTTATTTTTAACTTTTGGCACTGATGATATTCAAATGCTTCTTCTTGGCAAATTCTTTGTTTCTTTTTCTGTTAGCATGGTGTCATTGCAACAGAAGATGAAGAGTATTTTATTGAACCATTAAAGAATACCACAGAGGATTCCAAACAGTTTAGTTATGAAAATGGCCATCCCCATGTAATTTACAAAAAGTCTACCCTTCAGCAGCGGCATATGTATGATCACTCCCATTGCGGGGTTTCTGGTGAGTGAGCGACATACTGTATTGTGTTGCCATTCTGTTTCTTCTGGCAAGATTAATAATAATAAGCAAATAATAATTTGAGTAATTAAAATGATAACGTCCAGAGTCCTCTTTAAAAATGTCACCTATCAGTAGTGTTAAGTCCATCTTGGAATCTCTTTGAAATAGAAATCTGTGTAAAATTCTGTTACTTTTGAAGGGGAAAGAAGCCTACCTTATTTCATCCAGGTAGTAGTTATAGTTCTCATGCACAGGTGTTTCATAGCACTCGATGCTGTTTGCTTAGCTTGATATTTTTATGCTGGCGACAGGAATCTAGACACTTGACTAAGACTTGAAGAGTTTTAAGGTGGTATTCGAGGATGTAAACATATATAGAAGGAGCAACACACCTAAACTTCAGTGGCCAAAGAAGGCTTCATGGAAGAAGTGACTTCTAAACTGAGGCCCAAGGGGTAAGACAGGGTAGCTGGCAAAGGTAGAGGGAGCAGTTGGTAGCGTTCCATATAGAGGAAACAGCATTTACAAAGGTTCTGAATCTGAAGAGAGAATGTCACGTTCCAGGAATTGACAGTTCATATAACTGGATATTAGAATGTGGGTTGGAGAAATAGGGGTGAGATTCTTAGTAGTTGGGGGTGTGGTAGTGAGTGATGAAACTGGAGAAATTAGAAGAGGCCAAATCAAATCACAAAGGCCTTATAAACCACGTTAAGGAGTTTGTTTATCCTAAGTGTGCTGGAAAACCATTGAAAGGTTTTATGCAGTAGGAATCACATGGTCAGATCTGGATTTCATAAAGATTACTCTGGCAGCCATCTAGAGACTGAATTAAAGAAGAGCAAGACTAGAGCTAGGGAATTAGGAGGCTGTTCAGTCTAAAGATTAGAAAACTTAGAGAAATAGAGGACATGGCATAGCATAGTAGAAAGAACACGGGCTTTGGTGTAGCTTTGGACAAATTACCCAACCTCTCTCTCTGAGTACTCCTTTTATCACACATTAGTTACTCAGTTAAATTGTAGCTATCATTATTGGGGTAACTGTTTCTAGCATTAAAAGAAAACACACACACACACACACACACACACACACATATGACTAGATTTGTTCTTTTGTGTAGTTATAGTAGCTGAAACTAGGGGCATTGTATTTCAAAGGCAGATTTCAGCTTAAGAGAATTCTCCAACAAGTACTTTTAATGAAAAATGGGGTGGGTTCAATACGTAGATTTGTAAAAAACGGAGTGGATTGCCTTGCAATTAGTGAATGCATCACCCTTTTGTTTCTTTTGTGTCCTTCATGGGCTCCTTATTTTCTGCTTCAAGTATAAGTGTTCTTTAAAGTTCTTTCCTCAACTGACTATTCTTCTTCTGCATTCTCTCTTCTTGAGTAATCTCTGAGGCTTTTAATTATGGGAGGTCCTTTGTTAGTCAGAATAATTAGTACTAGAAAAAGGCCACTTCAAGTGAATCCACTTAGGGCATGAAATAAAATTTCATAGTAAATAATAAAAAAAATGTTTAATTGGTCTTTGTATTGAGTAAGGAATCTAAACATTATGGAAGTAGTTTATTTTATCTTATGTTTAAGAAAGTTAGGCTATAAGTACAACTATCTATAATTTTGTAAAAAATGAGGATTAAAATATTTAGTTGTTTATTATAATTTTTTAATAGTCAAATTATCCTCTTTTGTTGTTAATCCTAAACCAAGGATATTTTTCCATTGATTTTTAGAGAGAGTGGAAGGGAGGGGGAGAGACAGAGAGAGAAACATCAATGTGAGAGACACATTGATTCGTTGCCTCTTGCACATGCCCTGACCATGGCCAGGGTTCAAGCCTGCAACCGAGGTAAGTGCCCTTGACTGGAATCGAACTCAGGATCATTGAGCCTGCAGGCTGATCTCTATTCACTGAGCCAAACTGGCCAGTGCAAATCATCCCCTTTTGAAGTGCCTATCTCATTAAGTGGTCTTACTCAGGCAGATCATTATTTTTTTAACTAGAGGCCCGATGCATGAAATTTGTGCAAGAATAGGCCTTCCTTCCCTGGCTGCCTGCTCCGGCTTCCCTCTGGCACCCAGGACCCGGGCTTCCCTCACAGTCCCGGCTTCGTCCAGAAGGACGTCTGGTCCAATTAGCATATTATGCTTTTATTATTTTAGATGGTTTAGGCATGAGTCAAATTGCCATCATGAAATTCTGCCCTTTTTGGGGAAGATTTTCTTCTACAATCTCTCCCCCTGCATTACTGAGACTATTTCATAAATGGTCCTTGCTTTTAATCTGTTCCATTCAATAGCCATTTCTACCACCCCTAGCACCAGTTGATTTAGTTCATACCCTCATTGTCTCTTGCCTAGTACACTGTAATTGCTTCTAACTGGTCTTTCTGTCTCCAACTTTGTCTTTCTGTCACCTAGAGATCTGGCTGTACTACACACCTTCAAACACTTCACTGGCTTCCCAATAATAGGAATATGGTAGCAGTCCCCTAAGTTCTGTGAGAATGTCATTAGATGTTATTGGGAAAAAAGTGTTTTGTATTCACTAAGTTTGGGAAATGTCTGGTTAAGAACTACTGATCTTAATTGTGATACTATTTCAACAGCTTAGTTCAAGACACTAACTTACTGAGTTTCAAAAATATTTGACTAATTCTTCTCATGGTCATATTCATCTTACTTCTTAAAATTTATAACTTCTCCCAAAGTCATCTTTAAAAGGAAAGGTTAAAGAAGTTAGAAAGATAGAGAAAGTACCACTTTCTGTCAAGTATATAAATTAATCTAATTTTTTCTTACTAAATTTTTCAATAAGTGGAGGGTCGAAAGATTTTCTGTATATAAGGAAATATAAGTGAGATATGCAGAGGACCTGTACCTGCTCAAGTTTATTAAGTGAAAATGAATATAAATGAGGCAAGTATTTACAAATGCCATAGCACTAACAGATTTCCTGTGCGCTGAAGAACCAAATGTCTAGAAAACCGTGGGTCAACCACAGTCCACATTGAGATGTAGTTTAAAGTGAGTCATGCTGGAATCATTCTAATGCCCTCTACCTCTAGGTTTTGGAAAAGAAATACTCTGGGTACTCTGTCAGTATAAATAGTTGTAGACTGCAAAATTAAGTGAAAAATTTATTCACAGCTTTTTAGAATTGAGATAGCTAGTGTACTAGAATTGCTCTAATTAAGATAGTTTAATAAGAGCATCTTACTTTAAAAATAAATGCTTGTCTTAGGAATAGACTTTTGCAACATTAATGTTCTTCATCAGAACTGTCTTAGGCTGTTTAGAAAATTAGTGCTCTAGTTGCTTCTTAAACAACGTTAAGTGATTTTTTAAAATACCTATTCTAAATTTAAAAGTATTATGATGTAATCACTTACTGGAATAATGTGAAATGATTATTTGAAAATTCTTTTTATTAAGTAGTTCATTTGGTTTATTTTGTTCTTACAAACAGTTGAATATTAATAAAATATTTTTATTAAGTAATTCATTAGATTTATTTTGTTTTCATAAGCAATTGAATGTTTGATTTTTTTATATAATTATTTTGAAAACTTTAAAGAGTTTAATTTTCTCACTACTGAATTTCCTTATCCCCTCCCCTCACTTTGAAAAATCTTAATACGTTAGAGAATTTATGAGAAGCATGTCTAAAGGAAAGACCTATAAATAAATAAATGTAATTAATGAGCCTATCTGAACTAGTTAATTGTTTCTGTTGTAGACCTCATAGGTGGCAACCCTTGGTGGCTGAATGACACATCTCCTTTTCCTTCTGCACCACCAATTAATGACACACACAGACAGAAGAGATCGACAAGCATTGAGCGCTTTGTGGAGACATTAGTCGTGGCAGACAAAATGATGGTGTCCTATCATGGCCGCAAAGACATTGAACATTACATTTTGAGTGTAATGAATATTGTAAGTTTGATCCCTCTACATAATATTTTAATTTAATAGTTTTGTTATGGTTTTTTTTTTAACTAAGGTCATAGATTTTTATTGGGAAATAATGATTTTAAGAATTTATTCCTCTAAAATGAAAAAGACGTGATCTACTAATGTTTCAGTCCCATAGAAAATGCATTTAAAGGTGATCTTATTATTTTCAGATAATAGGACTTTTTAGTTAGTTAGGTCATATTAAATCTTGCTTAAGAGGTTTTCTTTAACTTGACACATCAGCTCATCCTCTTAATCACTGTGTTGTCATTCATGTTTAGGAGAAAATATTTCTTGAGGTAGACCTGGACCTTTTACCGAGGCATCTGGAGGGTATTGCTCTAAGCGACATGGGATGAAAGAAAACTTTTTTTATACATAGTAGCTAAATTCATGAAACATTATTTTGCCACTCTATAAAAATATTAATCACCCTATGATTTTTGTCTGACTTTGTGTCTTTTCTTATTTTCTGGAGGTCAGGTTGCCAAACTTTACCGTGATTCCAGCATAGGAAACGTTGTGAATATTATAGTGGTCCGCCTAATTGTTCTCACGGATGATCAGGTAAGAATGAGTTAGTTTATAAATCTAAAATCCTGACAGGCTATAGAATTATGTATTATAAAATAATATATTGTATTATTGCTCCTCTTAGGAAGTTCTAGTTAAGTGTTATTTTTAGCACTGAGCATTTAGCAAATTTTTAAAAAAATATATTTTTAATGATTTCAGATAGGAAGGAAGAGGGAGAGAGAGATAGAAACATCCACGATGAGAGAGAATGATGGATCGGCTGCCTCCTGCACGTCCCCCACTGGGGATTGAGCCCTCAACCCGGGCATGTGCCCTTGACCGGAATCGAACCTGGGACCTTTCGGTCCCCAGGCCGACGCTCTATCTACTGAGCCAAACCGGCTAGGGCACATTTAGCATACTTAAAGTTTCCAAGAATATACCTCTTATGTCATGTTAGAGCTATATTTGTATATTAGCTGTGTGTTTCAGTATAAAAATAAACATTTGCACATCAGATCTTCTAATAGTGGTTTTGGTTGATTTTATATGCTGATAATCACACATATTCACATTATCTTAAAGCTAGAACTAGAAAGAATGTTTGTTTAATAGTACACTAAATTAGCTCTAGGTCAGATATTACAGAGATAAAAATTGGCAAGAGAGTATTCCTAGAAACCACTGCTTCTAATTATAGCCCCACTTTAGTCTTCAAAAGTTTTAACAACTGACCTTAGTAATTTGTTTGGAACATTTCTGGTATGCATGTTGTATTGCAGCCAAACTTGGAGATAAACCACCATGCAGACAAGTCCCTCAATAGCTTCTGTAAATGGCAGAAATCCATTCTCTCCCACCAAACTGATGGAAACATCATTCCAGAAAATGGGATTGCCCACCACGATAATGCGGTTCTTATGACTAGGTATGGTTTGTTGCAAGTATTTTACCTTTGATTGTTGTGTTTGATTTTGTAACTATATTTGGTTCTATCTAAAGCCTTATTTAGGCAATGAATATAGAGAAAGTAAAATGGTAATTTATTATTCACCACTGAGAAAGAATATATTACACTGTTATTGTGTTTGCATCAAATAAGAAAAAGGAAGATTTAGTTGAGGTAGAGATTTAATAAATATTTTACCTTCTACTAAGGTCTGTTCATAGGGTTTAATTGGAAGCACATATTTGCTTTGTGAATTGAACATACTAAATGCAAGATTTTTAAAAGCATGAGAAAAAATATATTTTAAAACTAAAAATGTCATCACTCTTGGTTAGAAAATATATTAATTATTCTTAATTCCAGGTGTTAAAAGAGTGGACATCGGTAGTTACACCGTTTACTTAGATGAATGTTTATTTAATTAAAACTATTTAAATTAAGATATGCTTTATATATATATATATATGAAGCTTTATTATACTATATGTTGAATAGCTTGTCTCTCAGGCAAACATTATTTGATGGTAACCAATGATTGCATCTATTTCTTAACCAGTTTTACAAAACTGTTTTCAGATCCATTTTATTCCTTACTTTCCAACAACTCTATGAAGTAGATATTGTTATTATTTTCTCCATGTAAGAAATGGGGAAACTGGTTCAAAATACTGAAGTTGCTCAAGATCATTCAGCTAATAAGTGAAAAAACAGGACTCAAACCCTGGTGTTTCTGTCTATTTTGATTATATTATGCTGTCTTGGATTTTTATACTTGAGTTATGATTTACTAGAAGTATGCTTAAATCATTTTAAGATAAGTTTGTCTTTTGATCTCTAATCAGCATTTAATATTGAAAACAATAAATAATAACAAAGAACAATAAACAAAGTGGAAGCATTGTTCTATCTTGGTTAAATGCAATAGCCCTTGTTATTTTGATTGTTTCTTTTAATTTGCAAGGCGGTATTTAACATATACTTCATCTGGTGTGCTCATGACTCTACATCAAAGACTATGGAGGCAGTAGAAAGGATATGGGATTAGAATCTTTAGACCCAGAATCTTGAGTGAATTTAGCTTAAAAAAAAATTTCTCTTAGAGTTGTAAAGTTTCTGAGTTTATTTTTTTTTAACAGTTAGACTTACTTTAATTGCCTTCATCTACCTGACATCATAAACCAGAATAATTTGTTTATGACATGCTTGTTGAATAAAAACTAAATGGCACAGTTTTATATTCATATGTGTTGATACATCAGTTTGATAAATCCTGCAATTCCTCGGCATCTTGTGATCTGGAATGATTCCCACATATGTTTGAGAAGTTAAAATATTTTATTTTATTTATTTATTTTATTTTTTAAAAATATATTTTATTGATTTTTTTATAGAGAGGAAGAGAGAGAGATAGAGAGTTAGAAACATCGATGAGAGAGAAACATCGATCAGCTGCCTCTTGCACACCTCCTACTGGGGATGTGCCCGCAAGCAAGGTACATGCCCTTGGCAGGAATCGAACCCGGGACCTTTCAGTCCGTAGGCCGATGCTCTATCCACTGAGCCAAACCGGTCAGGGCGGAGGTAAAATATTTTAGAAATTGTGCAACTATAGAAAGCTTTGTGTAAAAATATATACAGATATCATTAATGTCAATGAAATTACTAGAAGAAAATGTCTATTAATATGGTTAGGAAAATGATTACAGATATTTACATTGGCTCCTGTATTTATATTTATAAAGCCCTACCTCATCACTAAGACAATGCCTGGTGGCTCTTGATGCTCACATTTTTATTATTGTATCTGCATTGGATGTGTAACGTTTGCATCAGGTGACAGGAGTTACAGCAGCAGTGCACGTTTGTAAGTATTTGAGGTGAAGTGCACCTGGGCAGTTAGCCACGCTGTCTTTGCACTGGCTCCATTGGCTGTCTGACTTGTTACTCTGAATTGGCCCAGATATGTTTTGATCCTCTGCAGAGACCTTTGCTTCAATAAGAACTTTTAGTGCTTTTTTTGATGCCTAAGATTTGAACATAACATTTTCTTTGTAAACTTGTCTCGAAATGGTCAGACCAGCACTAGAAATGATCTCAGGATTTAATAGGACAGTATTTTAACGGGTTGATATCTCATGTCATTTTATATTGGTTATGTAGTGGAGGTTAGAAATATGTCCCTTTGGGCAGTATGGAATGGATTTGAATTGTTATTGAAGTCTCAAACTAACTTTTACTTTATTTAAAAGTCTACAAGTAATTTTGAATTATTAGGACCACAGAGTGACGTAGCCAAAGGAGATGGCTGTCATCTCGAATATTTAGGTTTTTGTTGTTGTTGTTGTTTGGAGGTTTTACCAGTGCTTGACTCTCCCTTATAAATGTTTGATTTATGAAATTGAATATGTTTAAATCATACTACTACTTTTAGTAAAAGCAATTATGAGATTTCCATAGACAATTTTATAGTAATGTTGAAAACTGTTTTATGTAACTCACTTATTAACATATTCAGGGCTAGGACTCCACCATTTAGAGGTATGATAGTGATTTATGTTTGCTTGAAATGGCGGCTCACTAGGGAGAATGTATAATGTATCTATCGAGAATTCCAAAGAAAAATTAATGGATATGTTTATCTCCACTAGGCCTAATTTTGTCCTAGGGATTTAAATGTTTTAAGCAGAAAACCATTTGGAACTATAGTTACTTAGGTAATAATACTAGTTACTTTTGGAAAAGAGTAGAAAAGCTCAAGATGTTATCTCCTCTTAGCAAATAAAATTTCATTGTTTTATTTTACTGATATAAATGTAAAATAAACTGTGTGCTACAAAGTTATCAGATCACTGTGACTAGACAGAAAGAAACTAAAGTAAAAAAAAAATTGTTATTTTACATGGTATCAAAAATATTGAATTAACACCAAAGAGCATATTAAAACTTTATATATATTTAAATTTTTATATACATTTATTTTTATACATAAGTATATATATATATATATAAAATAAGTGTTATACATCAGCTAACTTTTTAAAAAATATATTTTATTGATTTTTTTACAGAGAGGAAGGGAGAGGGATAGAGAGTTAGAAACATCGATGAGAGAGAAACATCGATCAGCTGCCTCCTGCACACTCCCCACTGAGACTGTACCCGCAACCAAGGTACATGCCCTTGACCGGAATCGAACCTGGGACCTTTCAGTCTGCAGGCCGACGCTCTATCCACTGAACAAAACCAGTTAGGGCTACATCAGCTAACTTTATCTAATCTTTTAAAAAATAATTGAGGTATAATTGACAAATACAATTGTGTATATTTAAAGTATGCAACATGATGAATTGATATACATATACATTTTGTGCTGATTACCATAATCAAGTTAATTAACACACTATCACCTCATAGTTACCTTGTTTCTTATTTTTTTTGGGGGGTGAAACTGTTTAACATCTACTAATTTAGCAAAGTTCAGGTATACATACAGAATTATTAACTATAGTCACTATAGTCATACTGTGTATTAGATCTTCAGAATTTATTCATCTTGTAACTAAAAGTGTGTATCCTTTGACTAACATTTCCCCCACCCACAACCTTGGGCAACTATCATTCTATTCTCAGTTTCTATGAGGTTTTTTTGTTTTGTTTTGTTTGTTTTGCTCTTGTTTTTCTTTTTAAGATTCCACATATAAGTAAGATCAGAGAGTATTTGACTTACTCTCTTTGGTGTATTTCATTTAGCATAATGCCCTTCTGGTTCATCCCTGTTGTTGCAAATGATAAGACTTTCTTCTTGTTATTACTGGATAATATTTTATTCTGTATATATTGTATATTACACATTTCTTTTTTTTCCCAGAGGTTGTCTACCACAAATGCAGTTTTTGTTTATTTTTGTTTTGTTTTTGTTAATCCTCACTTGAGGATATTTTTCCATTGATTTTTAGGGAGAGTGGAAGAGAGAGGGAAAGACAGAGAGGAACATCAATGTGAGAGAAACACATCAATTGGTTGCCTTCTACACAGGGCCTGGGCCAGGGAGGAGCCTGCAACCAAGGTACGTACCCTTGACCGAAATCGAACCCGGTCCTTTGGTCTGCAGGACGACACTCTATCCATGGAGCCAAATCAACTAGGGCCACAATTGTAATTTTATTTAAATTTTATTTTTCAATTGCAGTTTCTATTCAGAATTATTTTGTATTAGTTTCAGGTGTACAGCATAGTGGTTAGACAATGATATATTTTACAAAGTCTTCCCCTTGATATTTCCAGTACCCACCTGGCACAATACATAGTTATTACAATATTATTGACGATATTTCCTATGCTATACTTTATATCACATAACTATTTTGTGACTACCAATTAGGAGTTCTTTTGAATTAGTGTTTTGGGTTTTTTGGAATTATACCCAGAAGTAGAATTGCTGGGTCCTAAGTACACCACATGTTCTTTATCCGTCATCTGTTGATGGACACTTAGGTTGTTTTCATATCTTGGCTGTAGTGAATAGTGCTGCAATGAACTCTGAAGTGCAGACATCTCTTCCAGGTACTAATTTATTGATTTAACTTCCTCTGGATATGTTACCTGTAAGTAGGATTGCTAAATCACATGGCAGTTCTACTTTTAAATTTTTGAGGAAACTCAAAACTGCCAGCAGGGCAGTCTCCGTGCATCTCCATCAGCTGAAGTTAATGTTGGGAGATTTCAGTGGTTCTCAATGGCCCTGGCTGCAGTTGTCTGCAGCAGCAGTGAAGGTTGGTTGGACCACCTGGTCTCTTTTCCTCCCAGTGGGGTATGTGATACGCAGCTGGGGAGGAGATGCCTCTTGGTGCCCGGTCCAGCTTGCAGACACCCGTGGAGGAGTGGTGGAGCTGGGGACACAGTGCCAGTACCTGCAGTGTGACAGCAGCTCTAGGAGCTGGTGTACAGGTTGCCCTGCAGTGATGATGGCGTGTGAAATG